TGTGCCTATATTGACTATATATAAAGTAATTCTCCCACGGCACACCTTACACTATGTCATGGCACACTAGTGTGCCGCGGCACAGTGGTTGAAAAACACTGGACTAGAAGACCTCCTTGGTCCCTTCCAGCTCTATTCTGATTGATTGTTTTTAATCACTTTGCTTACACTTCTCTGAGCAAGGATCCGACTAGAATATAATGCTATACTTTCAATTTGTACAATGCATTGGATTGTAAATTAAGGTCAAACACTGAACCTGGGCAAAAATGTGGTTGGATGGTTTTTCACTCTGCATTTTGCGAATAGTAATGAAGGAGCCTAGTAATCAAAGCAATATTTTCTGTTTCTTTCTGATACGATGAATTGAGCTTTTGTTATTGGCTCCTACTTATATTATTGAATACTGTAAGAAATTAGTTCTTAGGAATTAATTGTAGCTTAGTAAATTGTATCCTTGATACTGGTAAGCATTAGTACAGACTTTGTCAGCCATTCTAAGATATGGGGAAAAACACAGAAAGACGGAAAAATAAACCACTTTCAAGTATTAGAACCGGGACTGGCCCTTGGATCTCGGCTCGACAGCGGCTCCGCGCTCGAGGCGATGGGAGGGGGGAGGGGCTCCTTCACCCCGAACAGGGTGAGAGAGGGGACACCCCACGCACGTACAGCGCCTCCTGATGGCGAGAGTCGCCAATAGGAAGCCATTGGGAGGCGGGGTCAGGGCCCGGGCCGGAAGCATGGCGTCACGACGGGCTGGCCGGAAGCGGAAGCGCGGCGGCCTGCGGAGACGCTGGTGGTGGTGGAGAAAACGGCGGTGGCGGAAGACGACCCAGCATCATGGCGGCGGCTCCGCCCGGGCCTGACCCGGCGCTGAGGGCACCCGGTGAGGCCACGGCCTCTGTAGGCGGTGCCGGCTGATTCAGCGCCGCTGCTGCTGTTGCTGTTGCCGGGCCTTCGTAGTCGGCGGGCGAAATGCGGCGGTGTGGCCGACGAGCCGGCTCTCCGAACTGCCTGGGTCCGGGGGCGGAGGGCCGGTCATACGGGTCTCGGGAGTAAACCGCGACCGGAAGTTGGTTTCTGGGTGATCGGGGCCTGGTTCGTTCACGGTTTTTCCCTTTCCTTCTTTGCAGGCAACTCGCACTGTCTTCCTCCTGTGGCCGTCCCTGAACTCCACTGAGCCATGGGGGAGAACAGCCCACAGAATGTCATCTACTACGAGGTGGAGGAAGATGACTTGGCTCGAGATGACAAACTGATAAGATTTGATGACCAGAATGGCCTGGCTTCACCTTCCTCCGGGACAGTCTATGACAGGACGACCGTCCTCATTGAGCAAGACCAGGAGCCATTGGAGGAGGAGGAGGAGGAGGAGGAAGACGAGGAAGAGGAAGGGCAAAGCAGGCTTCTTCTGCCTTTCTTACAGGATGATAGATTCCACTTGATGGCCGATCATGAAGGCATTTCACAGGGCTATGTGCAGCATATTATTTCACCAGATCAGATCCATTTGACTATCAATCCTGGCTCAACTCCCATGCCGCGGAACATTGAGGGGGCTACCCTCACTTTGCAGTCAGAGTGCCCTGAAACCAAGCTTAAAGAAGTAAGTTGCCAGCTTAAATGCGACCCTCTTTCTGAAAGCCTTCTGGAATAAGTTCTTCATTGAAAGAATTTTGGCTCATGTTAAAAAGTTATTGATTGTCTTCTGGTTTATCTGAGAAAATGATTTTCTTTTGCATTTTAGGAGCTTAAAATATGCCAAAATACATAAGTTATGGTGCTTAAATTTCTAAACCAATTTTGTTTTTCTATGTTTTCATTTATTTCAGCCAGTGACTCTGGACAGCATATATCATAAAACAAATATATACACTATATTTAGTCATGAGTTAAACTATTGCCATAAATATTAATATAATCAAGAAACAGTGCCCTTTAACATACTCAGGACCCAGGCCTGGGCACACAACCAAGTTTTCACAACGTTATGGAAGGCCAGCAGGGTCATGGTCATCCCACTTTCTGAAGGAATGATATTCCAAAGGACAGGAAGAACCAGAAAAGGCACATCTAGTTTCCACCAGCCAATATTTCTTGGCTGATGGTCCCAATTGTAACATCTAAAAAGTCTACACACCCCATGTGTTTGAAATGTAAAAAAAAACTAGACCAAGATTAATTACTTCAGAATTTTTTTCACCTTTAATACATGTGAGCTGTGCAAATCAATTGAAAAACTGAAATAGTTTGGGGGGGAATATAATAGTACAGTAACATGATTACATAAGTGTACACAGCCTTAAACTAATACTTTGAAGCAGTATTTTGGGGTAGGTGTCTTGTCAGTATCAGCTTTGCCTTGGGAAGTCCTTGTCAGATTTCCAATTGGATTTGTATCTGGGCTCTGGCTGGGCCATTCCAAAACTTTGATCTTCTGGTGAAATCATTCTTTTGTTGATTTGGAGATATTCTTGGGGTCGTGGTGTTGAAAGGTGACATTCATCCTCAGCATTTTAAGCAGAGGCCTGAAAGATTTGGGCCCAAATTGACTGGTATTTAGAACTGTTCATAATTCCCTCCACCTTGACTAAAGCCCCAGTTTCAGTTGAAGAAAAGCAGGCCAAAAGCATGTTACCACCAACATGGTTCACTGTGGGTGTAGTGTATTTTTGGCAATGCAGAGTGTTGTTGTGCCAAACATAAATTTTGGAATTATACACAAAATTCCAACTTGGTCTTATTTGCCCATATGCTTTTGTAAAAAATGCAAAATGTAGCTGGGTTTGGATGTTTTTCTTTCTATGAGAAAAGCTTCTGTCTTGTCATCCTACCCTATAGCCCAGGCATATGAAGGATAAACTCTTGTCACATGTAGTAAACATTCAGTACTTGCCAGGCATTGCTGCAGCTCCTTTAATGTTGCTATAGGTCTCTTGGCAGCTTCTTGGACCAGTTTTCTTGTTTTTCCCCTCAATTTTGGAGAGACATCCAATTCTTGTTAATTCACTATTGTGTCAATTTTTTCCACTTGTTTGATAACTGTCTTCACTGTGTTCCATGGTATATGTTGCCTTGGAAATTTTTTTATACAGCTCCCCCAACTGAAACTTTCCAGCACTGAGATCCTTTTGATGGTTTGTAAGCTCTTTGCAGATGATGGCTTTTGCTGTAAGAAGCAACTAAATGTCAGAAAAATCCTACTAGAAAAGCTGAAATTTATATGGTTTGATCAGAGTCACCTTACTTGATGGCAGGTGTGTACTATTTACCATCAGTTTGAATTTGATTGGTTAATTCTGAACACAGCCACATCCCTACTTATAAGAGGGTGTGCACACTTAAGCAACCATGTTATTGGATGTTTTAATATTATTTTCCCCCAAAAGATTTCAATTTGTTTTTCAATTGAATTGTACAGTTTATATCTTATATTAAAGATAGAAAAAGATCTGAAGCAATTTATCTTCGTCTGATTTTTTTACATCTTAAAATCCTGGCATTTTGTAGGTTTTTTATATCTACTCCAATATATTTTTAAATTGCTCCAAAATGCTCAGTCGCATTTTATAAAAAAGACAGAGAGAGGCTTAAAAAGGGTTATAGGAATGTTTTCCTGATCAGTCAGATAACCTTGCTGTCTCTAAATTCTGTTTGTGATTATTGACATATGGGCTTAGGAATTTTCAGTACTAAAATTAAGAGAAAGGATCCAGTGATTGAGATAAGGAATTATGTTTAATAAATTTTTACATCTTTGAACTTTCAGTTGTTTTAAAATTGTAAATTCAGAGAGCAGTTCTCAGCTTCAGGTTTTTGATTCAGTGAGAAGTTTAAAATAAAGTATTTCTTTTGCAGTTTCACAATGGGGTACTTGTCAAGCATTCAAAATCACTTTCAAGCAAAATCTCATCGTCACATGATTTAAAAGTGATGATAATACTCAGAAGTTAGAAGTACAGGTGGCCCTTAACTTCAGCCACTTGGTGACTGAAGTTTTGGTTGATGGCTGCCTCTCCAGCTCATGTGACTTGCATGCCAGGTACTAAGCAACTGCTGCACTTATGGCATTTAGCAGCATCCCACATGTGACCATAAAGAGAAAATTCTGCCTGTCTTACCCAAGTGAGTAGAAAGTGCCTGTTTGAATGTCTCAAACATCCTCTAGGAAGGGGCATAGAGGAAACAGTCCTGCTAGCTGCTTCTCTGTTTTGAAACAACTTGCTCCCACTCTATTGACCTTCCAGGGAATACATAAGATCTGGCTTGTCTGGAAGACTTCGATAAAAGCTGTCCCATCTCTGCATTGAGATTTTATGCATACAGAGTGAGGCATAAATGCAATCATTCAGAAGATTTCATATTGCATAGAAAAGGAAGCAAAAGTAAAGCTAGTTTTGTATACTGCATTCTCAGTATACGTATTACACTTCCTCCAAATCCTTCACTGCAAACCCTGTTAAAGTTTTTCCTTTAATTTAGCTATGGAAAGCAAGAGTAACTGGGATTTTTAGTAAGAGCTTGTCGTACAATTATCTGGACTGGGAGACAGGATCTGGTCTTTACATAAAGGAGATTAGGTATGTTGAAGATATGACTGGAGGGATAAACTCTGGTAGTTCCAGTCCACCCAGGGCATCCATTTTGAAAATATGTGATGTGAAGATAGAACCCAGTGTCATTTTTCACTGTATTTTGAAGCTTCCACGAAATGCTCTCAATATCTGAGCTACGCCTATCCTTCATATCTATGCAGCAAACTTTTGTATTGTAGTGGATTGCTAACTGAAGGAAAGCCTCTTCAAAGAAATCTGTGTAGAGGACATAGACTTTGTCCATTGTTGATAAGAGATTTTCCCCAAGGAAACCTTAACTATATTTTATGAATGTATTTGTATATGTATTCTTTGGGCTACAATATCAGCTATGAACAAATCACTTTTACTGAGTACAGTAAAGCCTAATTATAGTTTCCTGTAGACCGTCCGCATCGTTACAGTAATGTCAAGTTCATGTGTCCTCTATTCATCCCCATAAGTAGACTTTTTAAAAAATTTCTAAGAAGTCTGGAGTGAGTCTCATTTTCACTATGCAACTGGCTGAAACATATTTATAAGGGGTAAATGGTTATTCATATGCAGTACAACATTTACATTGTAATTGGTGTTTGATGATTCATGACATTCATTATTTTTATATTATATTGATGCTGTTAAAATGTCAGTTGCATTAACTGAAGACATTTAGGATAGCTCTCAAGTGAAGTGATACATTTCTTAAAGTTGCATAAAATAACCTACAAGGAAAAGCTGGGGAGCCTATTTTAGCATAGAGCTCACATTTAGCTATATTTTTCTTGCCTGCTCTTCTGAATCTAAAAGTCCTTATTGTGTCCCCTAATCCACAAGCAAAGGGCAGGGTCATGGGACTGTATGGACACGAACAAAGAAGTATCTCCTTTGATTCTAATCAGAGCTAGCCGCTATATTTGCATAACATGGAAACAGTGCTGCTTTTGCTGCCTCCTGAACTCAAACATTTATTTTCTCTTCTAGTAGCTCTGTGAAATGGATTGGGCCATTATTGATTTGAATTATGCTTGTTTCTCTGACAGGTGAAGCGCTACCAGTGCACATTTGAGGGCTGCCCTCGTACCTACAGCACTGCAGGCAACCTGCGCACTCACCAAAAGACCCACCGTGGGGAGTACACCTTTGTGTGCAATCAGGAGGGGTGTGGGAAGGCCTTTCTGACATCCTACAGCCTGAAAATCCATGTCCGGGTGCACACCAAGGAGAAGCCCTTTGAGTGTGATGTTCAAGGTTGTGAAAAAGCCTTCAATACACTGTACAGGTAAGAGGATGAATTTTGGAAAGCTCATATTCATCAGGAGAAATTACTGCTTACACATGGAGAGAGAAATGGGTATTCCTGGTTGAATTGACTAATGCCCTGATGAAATATATTTTACTCTGCCCTATGCCCACTCCCCAGATCTCTCACATCAGTGTTTGTGGCTCTTGCAGAATGTATAGCTGATGTACATCACCCACACAATATCTTCCTCTAAAATGTTGGCTTTGATGGGTGTTTTCAGTGTGCAGAACCTTGGCCCAATTCTGTAATCATGTCAGATGGGCCTTGCTCTTTCACTGCAGGGCATGTCTTGGAGCAGAAGAGACATTCTCCAACCCCCTTCTTCTTTAGGTTAAAAGCCCATCAGAGGCTTCATACGGGGAAAACATTTAACTGTGAGTCAGAAGGATGCAGCAAGTACTTTACAACCCTCAGTGATCTGCGGAAACACATTCGGACTCACACTGGAGAGAAGCCATTTAGGTAAGTTGTCTGGTTGCTGCATCTATCCTGGACCGTTTTCAAGGGTTTTAAAAAGGCAGTGTACCTTTCTGCTGGGACTTTTTGGAAGCAGTTTATTCACTGAGGCCTATAATGTGTAAATTCCCAAACACCCCTCTGTACCCCTCTGGCAAATGTTCAGTTGTCTGGCAAAGTGCACAGATTCATTTGTTCAGTGTCTCTCAACATTAACTAGTTTGCCATACAAAACAAGTAGTTTTACCCCTATTAATTGTGCAGGTGGGGAAGATCAGCTTGATGCAGAGATGTCCCCACAGAGGCAGCGCGCCCATTGTATTTTGGGGGTTCGGGCATGTGCTTGAGCTTTAGGCATTCAGTTTGGAAAAGGGTAGCCATCACTATTTTAGGCTAATAGAAATGTCAGTAGCTGGAGCCACATACCCATATGTCCTCAGGTTGCCCTCTAAATAGTCCATAATAGGTGCATACCATCAAGAGGGTCTCATGTGATCTCAGCTAAGGAGTTGATGCCTGTGGAAGAAGGCACTCAGACCAATGTTCCCTCTAATTTTTTTTCAGTGTGAGCAGAAAAGAATAGTGTTTGAGCGGCACATTTTCATGCCTGAGCACCTGAATTTTTTTCACAGATGTCACCTAAGATAACAACGAAATCAGNAGAAGAGATCAACCCTGACTGCTCTTTAGAAGGCCAGATCCTGAAGATGAAACTCAAATACTTTGGCCACCTAATGAGAAGGAAGGACTCACTAGTGAAGAGCCTAATGCTGAGAAAGATTGAGGGCAAAAGAAAAACGAGACGACAGAGAATGAGGTGGCTGGATGGAGTCACCGAAGCAGTAGGTGTGAGTTTAAATGGACTCCAGAGGATGGTAGAGAACAGGAAGGCCTGGAGGAATATTGTCCATGGGGTTGCGATGGGTCAGACACAACTTCACAACTAACAACAACAACAAACCATGAATTAGATATAACCTACTACAAGATGTTAAGGAAAGAAGTGGGTTGGGTTTACCAGATTGGAAACTGTATTTCGATGCTTGTTATAGGGTCTGTCTAAAAGAATGGCTGAACCTTGAAAATTAGAGGGTACTTGATTTAGAAGGTCATGAATTAAAATTTGGATGGCATGGTTATTTAACTCTTCCTCCCCCCTCTCCTTCCCCTCCTCCTCTCCTCCCTCCCCCTCCCACTCCACAATAATCATCACCACTCCAAGAATATCCCTTAAGTGATTTCCTATCATATAAAAAGTCTCCCGAGTGGCGTTATTTCAACAAATAAATGAAGAACAGAAATGGCTACATTCCATATTCTTTCCATGCAACATTACTTGAGAAATGCACCAGGAATATTCTCTAATTTGTGGCTTTCCTTGCCCTTTTCATCGTGGCATTAATCAATAGCAATAATGATTTCAATTTCAGAATCTTGCCCACTCGTCAGTTTTAAAAAAATATTGCAAGAATCTCTTGGCTCTTCTTCACAGGAAAAAAAAAAGAAAGGCCTGCACCAACTGTCATTTGCTTTGACATGACAGGTATCTCTGGAAAATGCTTAATGGCTAGTTTAAGGGTTTTACCGAGGAATCGTTGCAGAATATATTAATGTTTTCTAAATAGGCAATACTATACTCGCTTACATGGGAATAAACTGCATTGTACCTCTTAGGCATATTCTTTAGATACACTCTATATAGCTGTGATGGGGAACTTATGACACACTTCCCTGGAGCCTCTGGAGGGCAAAAACTGCCCAACGTGCAAACCGGAAGTTCAGGAACGGACTTCCAGTTTGCGCATTGGGCCATTTTCCACCCTCCTGTTGTAATATAGCTCCTTGTCTAGGTGTGTGTCCTCCATGGCCTAGTTCATACTAGGGCCTGCAGGGTCACGCTGAATCACACAGGAGACAACTGGCTCC